CCACGATCATAAAACCAACGTATTTCAAAGGCAACAGACTTAAAGATCTGGCATGATTAGTAAAAAACCAAAAACCAAACAAGCACAAAATAAAGCCAGAGCCATAGCTTAAGTTGATATGCCAATAACAGGGAAAGCGCTTTTTTGTTAAGATGTAGTTGTTAAGATTCTTGCCAACACTAACCCTGTGATCCGTCAGCCTTTAGTTTTACGACGCAAAGTTCCATCAAAAGAGCGCAGGTACAAACAGTATACATGGCCAAATCATTGAACACTTGTTCGATTCATTTACTTGTGTTCGACAGAAAATACCGAGAAAGCTTAGTTAATTATCCCTTTCACTGATATGTCATTTTTAACGGGTGAGTGATTCTTCCGGTATGATAGTTTGTATTAATCATGGTTTAATTAGTGTTTTAGCCGTTAGCGTAAGGACTATCACCATGCAAAGGGCTTCGATTGCAGTTTCTTCTGGATGACATGATACTTTTATCTATGTACTGTTTCACACGGGAGAAATTGGTCGGAAACGGCTTTGGTTCAAGGTAGGCAAGACATATATAATAGAAAACCTGACCTGGATAGTTTACATAATGATCTATTTGACACATATTATCTGGTGCTCTGCCTAGTTCAATAAATGAATGCACATCGCGATCAGCGTTTCGTAAACATTGGTCTAAATTGCTCAACAGAGTTTTGTCAAATACAGAATGTTTTTTTCTTTTGAAAATTTAGTGAATTCGATTCCTTGTAGGCATTTCTATGCCCCTTAAGTGAGATATCATGATACTAATATCATGAATATTACCTTTGGAGAATATTAAATATAACGTGAGATATGTGCATATTTGATTAACTCACTTTTAGATATCTGAATGGTTAATTTTCACAAGCCTGGCGGGTTAGGCTTTAGTAATAATCTTCAGTACATATGAATAATATTGCGCACCATCATAGAACCAAAATATCTCAGAAGCAACGGACATAAACATCTAGCATAGTAAGTAAAAAAAACAAATGACAAACAAACACAAATTAAAGCCAGAGGCAACGCTTAAGTCAAAATGCTACAACAGGAATAGCGTTACTGTTGTTAAGACGTAGATATGATTTTCGCCGATACTAACCTTGTGATCCGACAGCCCTGAATTTCATGGAGCAAAGTTCCATC